GTTTAACGCAAAAATGCATGATCGCACCGGCAAGCCTGGCGCGTGCAGCCTATGCTGTAGGCTGACCATGCGCTTTTGAGAATTTTCATTTAAATGCTACTGTAGAACATGAGAAGAGTTAAATACACACTGATTTTTTGGGGCAGCGTATTCTGGGTTCTAAGCCTTCACAGTCATACGCTTACTGCAGGATGAACAAGGGCTGGTGGCACATGAATTTATAATCGACTGTAAAGACTTCAAGAAAACCGCCGGTGTTGAAGTAGTTGACATCGCTAAACGTCTCATGGATTACGGGTTCGTTTTTATAAATCAGTCGTGCCTGGGCGCAGTTCTTTTCAGTAAAGTAACAGTAGTAACTTTATTCTGCTTTTTACAGTTCCAACTCCTCGTAAATTTTTTATAATTGAATATAACGAAAAAATGCCTAAGTTAGTCGCTTGAAAAATTTGAAGGCAATTTCCATTACAACGTCTAATACTTGTTGATCTGTCCAAGACATCTTGATATCAATCGTATGGACAGCTTTTGTTAACAAAAAATTTTCCATCTACGGCATGGACGAAAGTCATTTATAAATATTTCTGTCCCACTGTAAAGATTTCTTCAATTCAGGTTATCAGGATGAAAACACAAGACAGCGCCTTCAGGATTAATAATGTTCAGTTCTTATTGTCACCGTGATTTAACAAGAAACAGGTCAAAAAGAATTTCAGTTTCCATGCGCCAACAATGTCCTTCCCTGTGCACGACTGCTTTATGATTGAGCCAACAGAAAGTGAAGATAAGGATGAGATGGATCGGCTCGTTGACTCGTTGCTCGCTATCCGTGAAGAAATCGCATTGATCGAAACGGGTCGAATGGATCGTAATGTGAATCCGCTTAAAGTAATGTTACCATTCAGTATCAAAGCATTTTCTTGAGATGAAGCATTGCCGAAAGGTTCACGAGTGAATGAGGATTTATATAAGTTACTGGAAGGACTGATGAAGTGAAATGTATTTTGGACTAAATTTTTTTTCTATCTTTTCGGGTAAGTTTTTTTTCAGTCTTATCAAACAAGTATTTTATCAAATAATTTTTTCAATCTTTTGGTGTACTATTCCTTGTTTTGTTCTTTTTGTAAATGTGGAAAAAATTTGTCTTTTTATTAGCATTTTCTTTTGCAAAAGCTTTTCAACTAATCCATTACTTCTTTTGCAAATAAGCCACATTTTTTTTAATTCACTTGGATTTGGACCCTTCCAAAATCTCGAAAGACCGGAAAAATAACGTTTGCTTTATTTCTAGATGGCACCGCACACACTCGCAGTTTTGACGGCCACAAAATGGGATCGTCCATATTCGCGTGAAGTTGCTGGATTCCCAAAACCATGGTGTGCTCACAAAGTGTGGCCGTCTGTATCTCGCATCGACGAGCAGTACGGTGATCGAAATCTCATCTGCTCTTGTCCGCCTACAGAAGCATATGCTGAGCAGTGACTGTTGCTGTCACTTTTCTCAGCCTGTTTTCCAGTAAAAAATTTTAGATGCCAAAGTTTTATACAAAATGAACGTTTACACTGGATATTGGATTGCAAAAGATTGGACGTTGATGTTTGAATTCCTGAACGATTAAATCACTCGTTTTTGATACTGTGCTAGACCTTTATCTTGAAAATTTATGATTTTCCTTTGGCAGTAAAGTGACATCTTGAAAATCTGCCTTCTCAGAAGACTTCAAATACTAGGTGTGAAACGGCCTTAGGTTCATATCGAACCCAACCGCCAGAAAAATTTAGCTTTTTTACTCATCTCAATCCAAAATTGTTATCGTCCACTTCTGAAGGTTTCAATGTCTAGATAACATTCAGAGAAATGCAGTAATGGACATAAGCGGAGGCGGCGTCAGACAAAAGCAACTTTACTAAACTAGAATTCAGCGTAAATGATGAGCAATAGTGGTATGAGACAGGGTACAAAATCGACTTAAATCGAAAACAGGAAATTTAAATGTTAAGAATATTTATAACATCAAAGATATTTGTAACGAAGAGCAGTTGTGCTGTGTAACTAAACTAGAAAGCTTAAATTTTACGAGAACATTCTGTGCATGCGTGCAACTGAAATATTTTATAGTCAACTTTAAAGTGCGCCTAGGTCTTGCGTGTGCGCAAGTTAAAGCTTATTTTGGGATACTGTTGGCGACCATTTCCTTGCTGAACAAGAAGCGGTTTTTTCCTGAAATCGCTTGCCGTTTATTTTTGAGCTAGCATGTGTAAAATGAACTTCTGCCTAGAAATGACCTCTGCGCATAAGCGCATCAAATATACAAATTGCAACACCGCAGTACTCTTACTCGAGAACCAGAAAAGCTAAAAAGCTAAAATTTTAGGGTAATGTTCCCTCTCCAAATGCAACTTAAATATTTAAAAATCAGCCTTCAGGTGTGCGTAATTCTCGCGTGTGGGTACTTAAAAGTTTTGGCGGGAAAACTGCTCACGAACAGCTAGGTTACTTTCAAAGAACGACGGTTAAATGGAAATTGTTCGTTTACTTTGTGCAAAAATTATGATGATTTACGCTAGTGAACGCAAAAGGTAGGTAAAGCAACAACCGTTCGTGTAGTTAATGACCAGAGTATTTCAATTAAAGGATAAAGAAAAAATGATGAAGTAGAAAAAACCCAGGCTGGAACGCACCAGGCGAGCCGGTGCGATCATGGTTTTCGCACAGTTTCTTGCGGATCCTCCTCCTCATCCTTTCCGTTCATCACCGCTCCCTCTCCCCTCCAAATGTACGTTAGTTAGTCAATCGGCAAAGGATCTATGCCATTTAGTCCTTATCTCCACCTATCCTAGCCCCTCCCCGGCTTTGAAGGAAACCCGCCACATACGACTCCATTTGCACTTGCCACATTCAAACCGCTGCCATCTGCCGTGGGGCAGCCCTACCTGCCGTGGAAAGAAAAAATTTTTTGCAGCTCGTGTATGAGACGAGCTGAGCCGAGTTATTGTAACTGCCTAAAAATGTTGGTGTGTTGATCGGCTGATATGGGTCTTACCGGTTGTTAGGCTGGGCGAACTGAGCATGTAACCGTCGGGTACGAGTTTCGACAGCGTGCTGCGGTTTGGGTCGGCCACGTGTCCTGGAGTCGACCATGGGTTTCGGTGTGGGCATATGTCTTGGTATCAAAGTGTTAGCCAGGGGAGAGTGGATTTCTTGAAAAGTCTCTCTCGGACATTGAGTATCGCTGTTCGGGCGGATCCTTACTTTGGTTGTAGTATGACAGCGATGGTCATAAGCTCTCCTAGAATTTCAGCTTTTCTCCCACTTCTGATGCCTTCGACTATTACGCGCATCCTGACGCAGCAGAAACAGTCTGCGATATGCTACTGTTGTATTTCTAGATACACCATGCTTTGACCTTTTCCGGCATGCTGGAGGA